GTAGGGTATTCCAGTCATGTATCAGCAGAACAGGTGGTCAGGTGTGGTGACAGTATTCCGTTCGGCTCGATTCGACTCGATATCCGCGGAATGAGCCTGCTCAATTCAGCGTAGTGTGGTTCAATAGTTTAATGTGGTTGATGCTGTTGGTGGCATGAGAAACAAGCAAGCTTACTCTATCACGGGGCTAAGGAATGGAGGGACCCCACTCCATTCAGTATCGTTGATGTGCTTGTCCCTAGGCGTTTCAAGCAAACTTGCAGTTGCAACACAAAACTGCTGAATGGTTGCAGCTGATCTGATACGGATGCTAGTGCTGATTCAGGAATGGGAGAAGTGAAGCTTTATGTACAAATATCAGGCCACAATATAGCAATAATGAAGGATCATACCATACAATACCAATATTTTCCTGGCACTAAATTGAGCCACCAAATCATGAAAGAACATGCATTCGTCGATTCGTGGTGGCAGTAGAGGCTGGATCGCGTGTGCAGCACGCGACACCTCACCGTTACCCTCCAAGCACACCCTCTCCCTCAATCGCCTCCACTCCTTCTACCCGTGGACCAAACAAAGAACCCACCCACCCAACGCCAGGGGCCAGGGCCCTCCTACCCTAACCTCACCTGGCCGGGCCTGGAGGGAATGACACTGGCTGGCTGCCAATCGCTTTCCTCCCCCTCACCACGCGAGGCTCTTAAGCTCTTCCTCAGTGGCTGTCAGCCGTGGCAGCGGCACAGACGCCCTCGTCACCCTGCTCTCGCGCCGCCCCCGCCCTCGCCCTCACTCTCACTCCGCTACCTGCGCCGTCCCCACCACAGCCTGGTGGAAGGGCAGCAGCGAGCAGAACTCGAGGCAGCGCTGCCCCGTGGCTGTGTCCATGTGCACGCGGTACAGCTGCTGCCCTGCCCCATAGTCGCCCAGGAGAGAATAGCTCTCTGCTGACCCGTCCATTGTCACACACTCCACCTCGGAACCTGCCAGGGGAGGGGGGGGTTGTGCGTGAGAAAAAGGGTGGGGGTGGTGGGAGTGAGGGAGGAACATGACCTCCGCAAGCGTCAAAGCGCCCCGAATTAGTCACAGGATGGAGGTACGTGACCTCCGCAAGCGTCAAAAGCGAGGTGACTTTTGAGTCGACTCAAAAGTCAAAAGCGCCCAGAATTAGTCACAGGATGGAGGTACGTGGCATGGCAAGCTTCAAAAGGCCCCGAGCACTCACAGGCAGCAGATTCGAGGCGAGTGTTGCATATGAATGAACTCCAGCACAGAGCCTGCCGTGCCGTTCATGCCTCCCTCTGCAAGCCTCAAAAGCGCCCAGGGGTATTAGGCGGCAAAGGACATGGCGTGCCAAGCCTCAGTAGGCGAAGCCCCAGGTACTCACAAGCAGCGTGCTCCAGCTGAGTGGTGTAGATTAAACTCCAGCATGGTGCCTGCCTTTGACTAGTGGTGAGTGGTGAGTGGTGCAGTGCAGACTAACTCCGCTCCAGCATGGCGCCTGCCTTCCTTTTCTTTGATGAGCCTCAAAACAGCAAGGCAGGCAGGCACTCACAGGCGGCGTGTTCGAGCTGCGTGTTGTAGATGAACTCCAGCACGGCGCCCGCCTCCGCCTCAAACGCTGCAAAGCTGCCCGAGGGGCCCCCACCCCCGTGGTGGCGATGGCGCGCCGCAGCTTGTTCACCCCAACTAATTGTTTTTGAATTCTCGGTACTTGCTTTTCAACTCTTAAAAGAGCCTCTATGTACGCTCCGACTTAGAACCTGTGTGCCGGTGCTTCGCATTAGAATAATGCGAAGCATTGAGCAAGCTATCAACTCAGGATTCCTAATGCTGGGGAATATTTTCGATATGAAAATATTCCCCAGCATTAGGAATCCTGAGTTGATAGCTTGCTCAATGCTTCGCATTATTCTAATGCGAAGCACCGGCACACAGGTTCTAAGTCGGAGCGTACATAGAGGCTCTTTTAAGAGTTGAAAAGCAAGTACCGAGAATTCAAAAACAATTAGTTGGGGGTGAACAAGCTGCGGCGCGCCATCGCCACCACGGGGGGTGGGGGCCCCTCGGGCAGCTTTGCAGCGTTTGAGGCGGAGGCGGGCGCCGTGCTGGAGTTCATCTACAACACGCAGCTCGAACACGCCGCCTGTGAGTGCCTGCCTGCCTTGCTGTTTTGAGGCTCATCAAAGAAAAGGAAGGCAGGCGCCATGCTGGAGCGGAGTTAGTCTGCACTGCACCACTCACCACTCACCACTAGTCAAAGGCAGGCACCATGCTGGAGTTTAATCTACACCACTCAGCTGGAGCACGCTGCTTGTGAGTACCTGGGGGCTTCGCCTACTGAGGCTTGGCACGCCATGTCCTTTGCCGCCTAATACCCCTGGGCGCTTTTGAGGCTTGCAGAGGGAGGCATGAACGGCACGGCAGGCTCTGTGCTGGAGTTCATTCATATGCAACACTCGCCTCGAATCTGCTGCCTGTGAGTGCTCGGGGCCTTTTGAAGCTTGCCATGCCACGTACCTCCATCCTGTGACTAATTCTGGGCGCTTTTGACTTTTGAGTCGACTCAAAAGTCACCTCGCTTTTGACGCTTGCGGAGGTCACGTACCTCCATCCTGTGACTAATTCGGGGCGCTTTTGACGCTTGCGGAGGTCATGTTCCCCTCACTCCCACCACCCCCACCTTTTTCTCACGCACAACCCCCCCCTCCCTGGCAGGTCCGAGGTGGAGTGTGTGACAATGGACGGGTCAGCAGAGAGCTATTCTCTCCTGGGCGACTATGGGGCAGGGCAGCAGCTGTACCGCGTGCACATGGACACAGCCACGGGGCAGCGCTGCCTCGAGTTCTGCTCGCTGCTGCCCTTCCACCAGGCTGTGGTGGGGGACGGCGCAGGTAGCGGGAGTGAGAGTGAGGGCGAGGGCGGGGGGGCGGCGCGAGAGCAGGGGTGACGAGGGCGTCTGTGCCGCTGCCACGGCTGACAGCCACTGAGGAAGAGCTTAAGAGCCTCGCGTGGTGAGGGGGAGGAAAGGCGATTGGCAGCCAGCCAGTGTCATTCCCTCCAGGCCCGGCCAGGTGAGGTTAGGGTAGGAGGGCCCTGGCCCTGGCGTTGGGTGGGTGGGTTCTTTGTTGGTCCACGGGTAGAAGGAGTGGAGGCGATTGAGGGGAGAGGGTGTGCTTGGAGGGTAACGGTGAGGTGTCGCGTGCTGCACACGCGATCCAGCCTCTACTGCCACCACGAATCGACGAATGCATGTTCTTTCATGATTTGGTGGCTCAATTTAGTGCCAGGAAAATATGGTATTGTATGGTATGATCCTTCATTATTGCTATATTGTGGCCTGATATTTGTACATAAAAGCTTCACTTCTCCCATTCCTGAATCAGCACTAGCATCCGTATCAGATCAGCTGCAACCATTCAGCAGTTTTGTGTTGCAACTGCAAGTTGCTTGAAACGCCTAGGGACAAGCACATCAACGAATACTGAATGGAGTGGGGTCCCTCCATTCCTTAGCCCCGTGATAGAGTAAGCTTGCTTGTTTCTCATGCCACCAACAGCATCAAACCACATTAAACTATTGAACCACACTACGCTGAATTGAGCAGGCTCATTCGCGGGATATCGAGTCGAATCGAGCCGAACGGAATACTGTCACCACACCTGACCACCTGTTCTGCTGATACATGACTGGAATACCCTACC